ATTTCACAAACCTACCCATACTGACACGACTATACACAATTCATCATCCCATCCAACACAACATAAACTGGCAGCTTATCATAGTATGTTACGTAGATTAACAGAAATTCCGATGTCAAAAGACAACTTTGAGACAGAATTAAATATAATTAAGCAAATAGCAGTAAACAACGGATACAACGAACAAACAATTAATAAAATGTTAAATCAAAAACTACACAAGAAAGCCCTGAAAATAGTATTTCCACCACCAGAGAAAAAACCCAGTACCTTCTGCTCGATTACATATACAGGCAAAATAACAACAAAAATTGCCAAACATATAAAAAAGAAAGGAATAACACCAGCTTTCCGAACAAATAACAACCTAGGTAAATATATTAAAAATAACAAGAGCCAAAATAAAAAACACTTAAATAGTGGTGTGTATAAAATTCAATGTGGCGACTGCCCAAAAACTTACATCGGTCAAACTGGTAGAAACTTTGAGAAACGAATAGCAGAACATAAAAGAGCTTTCAAGAATAGAAAAACAGATTCGACATACGCACTTCACCTTCTAGATCATAATCATTCTTTTAATGACAAATTTAAAATTCTTCACGTTCAAAATAAAGGCCTTAAGCTATCTTTGTTAGAATCTATGGAAATCAATAAATTAAAAAACACAGATATAATTCTGAATGACCAACTTGAGACAAACAGTTCTCCCCTCCTCAACCTATTTCATTAGAGACTATAAACTGTAAACGCATGCCAAAAATAGATCACTTGAGAAAGGCTATCAGCCGAAACAGCTGTAGTGATAATAGTTAAAATAAATTTTGTGGAAGTTTGAAAACAAAGTTTTCAGTGTTTTATTGTTACATAAAATGAATTTCCATCAAGTAACGGTCGAATCCATCAATTATATAAATTTAGACAAAAGTGAATTTTTAATAGACGAAATTGAATACTGCGGATACAAAATAAATAAATTTGGTACTACTAGTGGCTCAGATAAAGTAGATGCAATTGTAAATGCTCCAATATCAGAAAATAAAACTCAAGTCCGAAGTTTTTGTGGGTTAGTTAATTATTACAGACGTTTTTTACAACATACCTCTACAATACCTTTAACAAATCTACATAAAAATCATGTTGAATTTGAATGGTCCCGAGATTGTCAAATGGCATTTGATAAAGCCAAAAGGCTTATTTCTTCTAAAAATGTTTTGTGTCACTACGACTCAAATTTGCCATTAGTCCTTGCAACTGATGCATCCCCTTATGGTGTTGGTGCAGTACTGTCCCATATTTTTCCAGACGGTACAGAAAGACCGATACAATTTGCTTCTCAAATGTTAACCCTTACACAGCAAAAGTACTCTCAAATAGATAAAGAGGCATACAACATTATTTTTGGTGTGAAAAAGTTCTTCAATTACCTATATGCTAGAAATTTTATTTTATACACTGATCATAAACCTTTAGTTCAGATTTTTGCACCAGATAAAAGTCTACCAGTTTTAAGTGCTACAAGAATGCAGCATTATGCAATTTTCTTACAAGGTCTAAAGTATGATATTCGATACAAAAATACAGATTCTCATTTTAATGCAGATGCTCTTTCACGTTTACCTATTAAAAATGAACAAAATTATACTCATAATGAACCAGACATATTCGAACTTAATCAGATTGAAAATTTACCTACAGATGTTAACAGTTTATCTTTTCATACCAAAAATGATGCTACTTTACAAAAGTTACTATTAGGTTTACAAACTGGTGAGGTTGTTGAAAAACAATTCAGATTTAACGTAGATCAATCAGAGTTTTCACTACAGTCTGGAGTCATAATGAGAGGACAAGGAGTTTTAATACCTATGAAAATAAGAAATAAAATTCTGCATGAATTACACACTGCGCATTTTGGTATGGTGAGAATGAAGTCTTTAGCCCGGAGTTAATGCTGGTGGCCTTTCATAGACAAGGATATTGAATCTTTATGTAAAAATTGTTTTCATTGCAACAAGCACAAAAACAATCCTGTTAAGGACACACTTCCGTTTCCCACATCTGGGAAACACCTAAATTTTGCTTTGAAAGAGTACATGCTGACTATGCTGGACCTTTTAACGGAGGCTATTACTTCATTTTAGTCGATTCTTTTAGTAAGTGGATTGAAATACATTTCACGAAAGACACTACTACAAAAACTACAATCGAAATTTGTAGAAAAATCTTCACTACTTTCGGAATACCCACAGTATTTGTTACTGATAATGGTAGACAATTTGATTCTCATGAATTTATAGAATTTATGAAGAATAATGGTATCACACATAAATTTACTGCACCCTATCACCCAGCCACGAATGGCCAGGGGGAGAGATATGTCCAAACACTAAAAAATTGTTTGCGAGCCATGCACAGTGAAGAGAAAGACAGAGAACTTGAATTTTGCAGGTTACCAATGCAGTATCGTAGAACACCTCACACAGTAACTGGCAAAAGCTTGTCTGAACGTATGCTAGGAAAGCAGATTAGAAATAGATTAGATTTACTTAAACCTTTTACTCATGACAAAAATGCTTACACAGATTAGAGTCTTAGAAATGTTGCTATAGATACCAGAGTCTCAGTGCGAGATTACTTTAATACCAAATGGTAATTTGGCAAGGTTCTACTAAGGTTAGGACTATTACATTATTTAGTTGAGTTAAATGATGGTAGGACGTGGAGACGTCATATTGACCAAATTAGAGTAATTGGGCAGGATACACCTATAGAATATAACCCAACTTGTTTAATTCCTGATACAGTTACACATAGTATAGTTCCAAGGGAGGTATCTGTCCCTGAACCCAATTTCGTTTCACCACCTACAAATGTACAAGAACTTCTAAATGATACAATAGAGCCAACAGTACCCAGTGTGAGCCAGTGTGAGGCCCACACTGAAGCTGAACCAGTGTTAAGACGTTCAAGTAGAGTATGTAAACCTGTTCAGAGGATGAATTTGTAAGTACATCTTTATTTCAATCTGTATTTATGAATTTTGGTCAAGAGAGGAGGTGTTATATACTTGACAACACAGGTAGGCAACACCGCTCACGGACACAAGGGAATGAAGTTAGTTAGTTATTAGGCAATAAAGGTTAATGATATAAAACCACGTTGTATTATTAATTATTACCTTATTTAAGTAAGAAATACCAAATACACAACAAATTTGTTTAACCGTTTTGTGGTACGTAATTATGTGAGAGAAAAAATCATGTAGAAAATTTACAAACAAAAAAAAATTAAAAATATGTAATCTAACGTTTGTTTTTTATCCCCCAAAAAAAAAGGTTTAAATTTTGACTATATAGATATATTTTAAACATGCTTATAAAAAGAAATTAAGTTTTGTTTTATTGCCAAATGGGTTTTACTTTTAATTATAAAAAATTATTTTTAATTACTGCACTAAATCAATATTATATTGATACTAAACTGATTAATTTAACGAGATAGAAAAAAATTGCATTTAATAATTATTACCCATTAACCAAGAGTATATTTAAGAACTACGGATAGCTCTTTGAGGTTCAAGAAGTAAATCCCAATTTTATTACACCAGTAGGCCTTGCAAACAACGAAACACTTTGAATATTACTTAAATAAAAGGAAAGTTGCTTGCCTCATTCGATGTTTTTTCTTTCTAAAATCCATTAATTTCTGCTTCCTACATGCCATGAGAATATTGTTAGTTCAAAAATCTTTCATAGTTTACGTACTGGAGAAATTTACACAAGATAAATGACTCAAATGCTTTTAATGTGTTAAATAATCTTGATTACGTTTGGGTTTATCATAAACACGACAAAAATAGGTATACTAAGATATAAATTAGGTAAAAGCTTTTAGGTTTTATTAGTAACAGAGATGATTAGATGATAAGCAGCTTGTATTGTAGTGGAGATGAGATATTTAAAAGTTACAAATAAAAATGTGAATTTAAAAAATTTGTTTAATATCTGCAATGATGTTTGACATAAATCTTGTATGTAAAATTTAAATGCAAAATTCACAGTTTGGTTTCTGATATTGATATTATTGTACATAAGAAAAATATAAAACCAATAAGTATAATTAATAGATACTAAAATATATTTAACATAACAAACAATGGTGTAAAGTACTATATACTATGACTAAAAAGGCAATAATTTAAGACACGTTTACAAAATAAATAAAAATGCACAGTGTTCTTGTATGTCCAGATGTAACCTAAGCAGTTTACACTTTCTTTATTTCTATTTCATGGCACAACGGAAATATTCTTCCTTCTATTACACTGCAAGGATTACATTTCTGTGTCTGCGCGAAAATTGTTTTTATTTTTTACAAAGATACCTACGGTTTTAAAAAGATTAAGTTCTGGTAGAGATCTTTTCGTGTGATTGAGCCTAGTTGACTTTGTATACCGGAGTATCTCCCAAAAATGTTTGTACATATGTGGACGTCGAGAGAAATACAGCATTCTGCATGGTCTTGTAGAGACCCAACTTTTTTTATGTTCTCTAGAAGGTTATTTGAATTAACTTCAGTAGTAGGCAGAATGGTGAGTTTCGTCTGGATACTTTCCACTCTGTACTGTTTGCTTAGTTAAATTTTAAAATCTCTGTACTTCTCTCGGTGTATTTACTAATGCAGATTATTGTTGTTAGGTATTGTGACATCATCTAACGTTGTCTCAGTAGAGCTTCTAGTCCTTTTCAAGCATTCTGTCAAAAGCGTATTGATAATATGGGAGATGGTTCGCCTGTAAAAGTCCTAGATTGTTGGCTACTTCCTGGTAAATAATTGAGTTATGACGTTTTGAAATCAGTTCTAATAAACGTCTGGTAGCCTCCGGTGAGATGTTAGCTGGATTATTGGTGCTAGAAATCCATATCCGCATTGTTTTGGACCTGAGGGTATTTAAAAATATATAGGAAATCTATCTATCTATATAAGGATATTTACAGCTGTCGCCGCCTTCCTTCTTTCAGCCAACGTCTCCAGTCCTTTCTGTTCTGCCATTCTCCATCTCTAAGGCCTCGTCTTTCCATGGCCTCGTCCACTTCATCCTTTCATGATCTTCGGAGTCTACCTCTTTTCCTCCTTCCTATTGGGCTCCAATCCGAAATCTTTGCTATCCAACTTGTATGATCTGTTCTTCTCACATGTCCATACCAAATAAAACGTTTTTCTTCAATGTAGCTGAGTATGTCTTGTTCTACTGCCATTCTTTTTAATTCCATTTAACTTGCTGTGATTTTGGACCTGTTTAACTTGCTGTGATTTTGGACCTGTTTCGTTTATTTATTACCCAATTCTCTGCTCGATAGGTCATTATACTGCGTACCAAAGTGTTATAAATTCTCTTCTTTGTATTTCTGGTAATCTGTCTATTCCACAGTACCCCGTTCATTTGTTTAATATATGTTCTTATCTGTGCTAATCTGCTGATTATATCTGGCTCGGTGATTCCATTCCTTGAGAGTATAAATCCTAAATATTTGAATTTTTCAGTGCCGGTACTTTCCCTATCGTCGTCCCTTTCCAAGTTTCTCACTGATTCTTGCTCTGTTGTTAAGTATTCGGTATTTTCTAGGTTTATTTCCAGTCCATTTTTTGTGTATTCCTTTTCTAATTTTCGGAGCATATAGCACAGATTTTCTTCATCATGAGCCGTTACCACTTGGTCATCTGCAAAGCTTAATGTGTACAAGAAGTTGTCCTGGATTGGTATTCCCCTCCCTTCACATTTTTTTTCCGTGGTTTTAATATTTGTTTGAGAAATTTCTTGAATAGTGTCGGAGATGTAGAGCATCCCTGCAATAAGCGTTTTGTGGTCTTAAATTCGTTGGAGTATTTATTGCCGGTTTTAACTCTTACCTTGTTGTTGTAAACCTCTGAGTTATTCCGATTTCCTTCATCGTGTTCCATAGTTGTTTTCTGGGAACCGTGTCATATTTCAGGTAATCTTTGGTTGAAATAAGCTAATCCTGAAATAAAGTGCGAAACTCACTATTTAGAGAAATATCTTTTTTGCTGTCAGCTAGTAGTTCGACACTGTATTGTCGACATATTCTAATTCATTGGAATGTTGCCCATCCAGACGTTAACTGAACTAAATGCGTGTTTTCTCTTGATTAGAAAGATGGTTTATACTCATTTCTGGTCTCCTCAGTTAAGCGGTGTTGTATCATCTACTTTTGAAATTGCGCGATGTAAGGTATGTGCCTCGGCCTGCTTCTGAAAATAAGTTCGTAAATTAGCAACCTGCTTTTCTAATTGGTCACTTATGTCAATAAGTACTATGTAAATGTTTTTGTGCCTTTGTGAGAAGTATTCTCACTTTCCGCTGAATACTTTCCATATCCACTTTAGAACACATCCATATAAGATATTAATAATTTAGTATTCTTACTCTTCGTACAAAGTCAAAAGTTAGTCGGTTTATGATATTGTTACGAAAGATTTATCCCACATAGGAAAAGTTCATTGACGAAAAAGAAGAAGTAGTTCGAGAACATTCAAGATGAAAGAACTACTTTCGTAACAATATTATTACTGTTATTTTATTACACAGAAATAATGTCTTGGATTTCAAGACTTTATTAGAGGGTAAAAAAAATTTACAAAAAAAACACATTGTAAAATAATTACCAACGCAAATAAACTGTACATTAGTACTCGTACATTGTTCACAATTAGTGTTCAGTTAAAAAGCAAATTAGGATAATGTTTGTTTTTAAAACTGCTATATCTATTTTATGTTCAGCTAATTCACATAAGACTTCATTAAGTTTGTTTGATAAACCTTGAACTTTCCATATTGTACCTACCAAAATATCGTGTCGCCTATTTTGTTTCAATTTACTACAAAGTGCTTGATTCAATCTTTTAATATTTTTGAATTTTTTTTAGAACTACTAGTGAGTTAGCCCATTTCCTTACATTCTCATTTGGGCAGTCCTAAATTCTGATTACATAAATTAGTTTAGTTTTTTTTTAAGAAATCCTTTTAGTCTTGTCGGATTATTTTATCCTCGCTCACAAGTTCTACTACCATTTTTTTAAATTTTTGATTAAATTTTTTGATTGATTAGCACAACCTTTTTAATTGAGAATATAAATTACTTTTGATTTCTTATGGAAAACATGAATTTGGCTGGTAAATTCAGACTTTTATATTTTTTTCGATAGTAGCTCTATTCTTGTGAAAACAATATCATTTTATTAAAGGATTTACAACACTTAAAAACTAAACGTAACGTCTGTTATATTTTTATTAATTCTAATTTATAGTTCTTAATGTAATGTATTAAAGATTCAATATTTATAACACTTACGAATTTATCAAAGTATTTATTAATAATCATTTATTTTACAATAATTTATTACGACATACATTTAAATACGCGAGCCCCGAATTTATCTTCTTTTTGACTAACCGCTCCATGAAAATCCCCCGTTATTTATATCCAACACTGCTAGACTAGAAACATCTGGGGAATCCTTCCGTTTAGAATGGGACTCCATCGAATAGACAGGTATTTCAGTGAAGATACTAGAAGGCGGTCGACGGCTGAAACTAGTTTTTCAACTGCTTGAAAAACCTCGAGTCGTGGATAACTCATCAAAATTGGGGTCTAGAGGTTTCTGTAAGCAACCGTCGACTAGAACAAAAACAGAATTAGTCATAATATATTTACAGTTTTAAACGCCATAATTATCGTAACAAGTCTATGTTTTGCTAGTATCAATTTCCAGTCTTGTCAAAAACTAATAAAACGAAATTTGAAACATAAATAGGAAAATCCATACAACTAAAAAGTTGCTGTTCGAAAGTACGAAGAATAGTATGGAGCATTTTAGGATTATTAGAATGCATTCATACACTATTTGTTATCTTAGTTCTTCCAATGAAGCTGAAATGGTAGGTATAAATCTTTCTTTTTATATAGTCTCATATAAAGAAGTCCATTGGAGTTAGTCCATTTAATAAGCCATCGATTTAACTCTGCTATACTTCTTCATATGGGATTATTTAAAAAGCAAGATTTATACCTACAATTCTTTGGCACAAGTAAGATAACGAATGGTGCATAAATGTATTGTAGTAACCCCTAAATTGCTCCATAGTGTTCTTCGTAATTTCAAACAGCGGCTTTATAATTATATGAACGGTGTTGGATATAATGTTGAACATTTAAGTAAATAGTTCTCACTGATTGGTAAACTACTCAGAATTATGAATTAAATAGTTCAAATTTTTCATTTTATGTTGGTTACATTTTCAGCAACTTTCAATAAACTATTACTTTTTGACAATACTAGAGTTAACATCGAAATAAATGTGGATGTCTGAATTTTCTAGCGAAATACCTGTCTGAGAATGTGTCATAAATAGTATATTGTCTATTTAAAATTTCATGGCTGGGGTACTGGAAGGTAGGGGGTTACTTATTGACAAATATCTATATCGTTAAAACATGACCCTTTTAGATTAAAAAACAACATGTTTTAGCATTTCGATAAAATCTTATGAATGTTGCAAAACATCAGGGTGAACTCTGTTGAGTGGCAAACCCTACATTTCATTACAGATATTGTACAGATTTTTAAAATAATTTCATCTTTAAGAAGAACGAAGGTATACCTAAAACATTTACTGCTTTTGATGTTTTGTCCATTTTTACTTTGTTCCTAGCTTATCTAAACTTTTCTTTATTGTTGCTTAATATATATGACTGTATGTATAAACTAATTTATAATATAGCCTTATTACTTCCAGCAAGGAAATCCGTTTTTGTAGAAAAACCGCTAATATATACTTTGGATATATATTGCAGTAAAATATCTATTTATCGTACCAGCTAATTTATAAATACATGATATACGAGTACGAAGGGTCTAAGTAAAAATGCGTAATTAGCCGTCTAGATGTAACAACTCCACCAACAACAGCAAAAAAGAAACCCACACACGGGCTGCGTCTCAAGAATATTAATTAAAAACAGTTTTTACTCTTGTAATTTACACCTCGGCGGGAAGCACCATCCACAATGCTCGTGATTCATCGATAAAACTCATTTGGTTTTAATGATAATGATGGAATGTCTTGACTATCGTTGATACGTCTTTGAATTTTTAGTATAGTCTATATTGCAAGAAAAAACTAAAACTTAATTTGTTAATTATCTAATTATTACCTATGTATATATATATATATATATATATATATATATATATATATATATATATATATATATATATATATATATATATAAGGATCACTCAGACGAGTGGTGGGTTCTTATATCGGTCTCTAGGTGGAGAAATAAAAGACAAAGTTGATAGGCTACTTTATCTATTTTGAAGACGTTTCGCTTTCGAGTTTTGAAAGCATCATCAGTTCATCTAAAAAATTATTACAATATGAGAACCACACAATCATGGAAACGATATTGTGTGGTTCTCATATTGTAATAATTTTTTAGATGAACTGATGATGCTTTCAAAACTCGAAAGCGAAACGTCTTCAAATAGATAAAGTAGCCTATCAACTTTGTCTTTTATTTCTCCACCTAGAGACCGATATAAGAACCCACCACTCGTCTGAGTGATCCTTATATATATATATTGGATTGACGGTCGTACTCCTTTTTCCGATATATATATATATATATATATATATATATATATATATATATATATATATATATATATATATATATATATATTAATTTGTTAATTACTTAATTATTACCTATATATATATATATATATATATATTTATATATAAATATATATGTATATATATATATACACACATATATATATATATATATATATATATATATATATATATATATATATATACATGTTATATGTGAAAATAGTCACCTTAAACCACTCAAGGGTTACCGACACTTTGGTTTCGCAATATCAGTTCCTATTTCATCATCCTCTCAGCAAGCTGAGATAGCTGATCATGCACTGGCATCAAACTCAGACCAAAGCTGGCCTTTCGTTGGAAATGCCGACACCAAATTTTGTAGATAGGTTATAAATTTAGGACTTTAATGTTTCACTCGACATTCGTCATTCACACTTGTCATTTAAGTTTCTTACTAATAACATTTGTATTATATAATTTTATTTGCTTCATTTTTATCGTAGAACAAAGTGTAATGTTTAATTGTAAAATAAATCTTTTTAAAAAATCATTCAAGAAGTTAGTGATTTAACATATATATATATATATATATATATATATATATATATATATATATATATATATATATATATATATATATATATATATATTAGGTACATTGGTATATTTCCTGAGCTTAGGTAAGATTGACGTTCGCTGTTATGTGATATATATTTTCATTTAAAATATTGATACAATACTTCTTTTGCTATACTTCTATTACAGGTCAAATCTTTATATACAGCAAACTAAGCACCATATACCCATATACCTAATTCTTTTTCTCTTTCTGCTCTCTCTTACCTATAGTATTACATATGTAATGATTGTTCAGATTGACTTCCATATAAATTGTTAACGCCGAACGCATGTATAGAAGTATAACTTCTACCGGCAGTCCCACTGGACTGCCACACCCGTTTTTTCCAATGATGTCTTTCGCTAAAGCTATTGGAATATTCTTGTATAAAGATACCACAACGAGAGAAACTAATATATAATTTGGAAGTAAATGTATATTTTGTCAAGGAAAGAGATGGATTGGTCGAAAGAAACTTTCATGGCTGCGTAATATTAGACAATGATGTGGTTTCACAGTAGAAGAA